ATAGATAGATAGATAGATAGATAGATAGATAGATAGATAGATAGATAGATAGATAGATAGATAGATAGATATTAAAATAAATAAATAAACAGAGCTCTCGAGAAGGATGTGATCAGTTCTCCAAAACCCGGATGGACACTTGGTGATTCCTTCCGTGCAGATCCATTCAGTCTTCCTCCCCTCTAGACAGAATCGTGCCAAACTAAAGCAGACGACCAACCGTCTAAAGCACAAACAGGCAGCCCACAATTTGCGATTGGTTGGAAGGTTGTTTGAAGTTACAACGGCACTGAAAAGACTTCTAACCAGTCCTCGCCCTTGCATCCGTTAAAGCCTCCTGGCGGTCACATGATCAAAATTCAGGCGCTTCGCACCCGGCGTGTATTTATTATGAAGGTGGCAGCCTTCGTGGGCTCACGTGGTGGCCATTTCCTTCCCACCCCCCTTTTCCAGGTGGGCTCTGAAAAGCAAAGGCAACGGGAGGGAATCCAGTTTCACTTAACAACTGCAGGAATCCGCTAAACAACCATGGCAAAGGTTGTAAAATCAGACCTGACTCACTTAATAATCGCAACAGACATTTCTTGTCCTAATTTGGTCATACGTCTGAGACTGCTAGCGTAACTTTGGGGACTGTTGAGCAGGAGCTGTCTTCGCCCTCTTTCTCTCACACGAACTATCTGAGCCGAGTTGCCTCTTGCTCCTCCGGGATGCAGCCCCTCCCTCCTGGGAATCCAGTCTACATTCCACCACAGATGGTGAGCTAGGTAGGAGACGAGGGGGGAAAAAATGGCATTCTATCAAAAAATTAAAATCCAGCAAGATTTTGGGACAGCTGCAAATGATGACGTGTGGCTGAAATACACAGCAAAACACCTGCACACTTCACGATGCACTGAAGGCAGTGGGTTTTTTTTTATTTTTAACACAACCCAAATTAAATCGAAATAATGGAAAGTGATAGCTACAGAAGCCAAAAAGTACCAGGGAGTTTAACATGTGGTGGGTGGGAAGTTGAAACTTAAAGCAAACTTCCCTTTTCTCCTTGATGCTTTCAGACATCTGACACCGGTTCCTTGGCGCAAGTGTGCGGCATCTTCCTTTCCCTAAATCAGAACTTTCCACCCAGCAGCCTTGTGACTGACACACGTCAACTGCTGGCAAGCTTGTTCTCCAAACCATGCCAAAGGCAGCCATTAACTGATCCTAAACTTGGAGAGAAATTGGGTGCCCCGGAGCAGCTGATTCTGAGCTAGCCAGATAAATAGAGCAAGGGTCTCCAAAAATTTGGCCATTTTAAGACTTGTGGACTTCAACTCCCAGAATTCTTCAGCCAGCTAGGAATCTATGTCGGGCCGAGGAATTCTGGGAATTTAAGTCCATAAATCTTAAAAGTTGTCAAGATTGGAAATCCCTGCTCTAATGAAGCCAGAGACCCTAGGGAATTTGGGGAGTTGAGGTCCACGAATCTTACAGTTGTTAAGATTGGAGACCCCTACTCTAGAGGAGCCAGGCGGTAGGGAATTCTGGGAGTTGAATTACACGAGTCTTAAAGTTGACAAGTTTAGAGAAAGTTACTGCTCTGGAGAACTTAGGGAATTCTGGGTATTGAAGCCCACCCATCTTGGGCAGCTGGGGAAGGCTCTGAGGGGGGGCTCTGTGTCGGAGGCAGAGAGGGGGCCAAGGCCGTCTGACAGTTATCGGCTGCCTTCGGAGNAAAACAGCCTGAAAATGGCCCCCGAAACAGCCAAAAAACAGGCTTGTGCGCCAGCCAGTTTGTCTCCGGGGCTCCAGTGCGCCCTCAGGCAAGCACACGCACACGCGGGTTCCGGTTTGGGCCCTCGGTGCCCAAAAGTTTTGCCATCACGGTTTGAGCTGATTCTCCAGAAAACGAGTGATAAAGGAGAATCTTCTAGAACAGTGTGGACTTCCACTCCCAGAATTCCCCAGCCAGCCATGCTGGCTGGGGAATTCTGGGAGTTGAAGTCCAAACATCTTAAAAGCTGTTTGAGAAGCTTGAAAAAAAATAACTGTGATTCAGATTGAAACCTTCCCATCGTTTGAAAGGCCTTTTATTTTAATTCCAGCTCCTTGCGGCATTTCCACGAGATTTTAGCTGGCCCGGTGACCCTTCTCAAAAGTTACTCACCATTGCTTGATGGTGCTTTTCTCTTTAAGCCCAGTGGAGCCAGAGGGCGTGCCAACAGTCAGTTCTCTTCGTGTGGGAGTCTCCTTTTCCTGCTTCCGAGAAACGTAACCACTAGGCGGTGGGGGAAGAGAAAGACACCAGCTGCTTATTGCAATCCGCTTACACGCCAACACACAGACACACACATCACGCCTCCTCGCTTGTGCTGTGGTTTGCCCGACATGCTGAATCACTGAGAGCAAACGGTCTTTTATCCCAGTGGCGGCTGACCCACAATCTCCACTCATGGTTTAATGTACGACAACAACCTGACAACATGGGGTTAATTGGATCTAAACCATGGTCTGGTTAACTCTAGGGTTTAGCCGACATCGCTGGCCATCCTTCTTCCGTGTGCACCTTGTAAAGAGTTTTATTCTAGTAAATAATAAATCAAAAGGGGTAAGATCGATACGAATTGGCCCTTAGAACGAGGGATTAACAGAATAGCAGAGTTGGAAGGGACCTTGGAGGTCTTCTAGTCCAACCCCACCCTGCACAAGCAGGAGACCCTACACCGTTTCAGAGAAACGGTTGTGTAATCTCTTCTTAAAAATCTCCAGTGATGGAGCGCTTACAACTTTATTGATTGTGATTCTTAACTGTCGTAAACTTTCACCGTAGTTCTAAGTTGGTTCTGTCCTTGGTGGGTTCCCCATCCATAGCTGGGCATGGGTGAAGATAAACCTGGCCAAACTCAACCGCTCGGTTCCACCACAAAACCGCGGTAGACAAAAGCGCGGTCGACGGAAGGGCGTATGTGACGTCATCACAGCACGACGAAAAAGATCGAAAAATGTAAAAACAAAGCGAAAACCTTACCCTAACCCCCCAAACCTAACCCTAACCCTACCCCTAA